CAAAAGCAGTCTTAAGTCGCTGGGGTATATTTGTAGCAATAGCCAACAATACATTGTATGGGTCACAATTATAGATTTTTCTTTTATGCCAAAAATCATTAGGATATTAAGTAAAGATCATGTTCCATGAAGATATTTAGTAAGTTTCCTACCGTAAATATATCAAAACTTAATTTTTGATTAGTAAAATGCATTGCTAAGAACTGAATTTGAACAACTTTAAAGATGATTTTCTCAATATTTAGATTTTTTTGCACCCTCAGATTCCAGATTTTCAAATATTGTCCTATCCTAACAAACCATACATCAATGGAAAGATTATTTATTATTTAAAAAAAATTACCCTTATGAATGGTTTTGTGCTCCAGGGTCACATATTTCAATATCGTGATAATACCGTATACCGTGATAAAAGCAATAGCAATTAATCGCAACATGAAAATTTGATACCGTCATATGCCTACACGGCAGGTGTGATGATGATGATGATGACAGTGTTGTGTGTGTCGCTCTTCATCAGGATGAAGGGTTGAGGATGAGGAAGGCCAATCAGTTTGACAGCTCCGTCTCCAAGTCTTCGGCGGCGATGCTGAGCAAAGATCCCGCCTCCAGATCGCTGCCGTCGCTGCTGGTGGTCATCGCCGCCATCTTCATCGGGTTCTTCCTCGGGAAGTTTGTCTTGTAGAGTTCTGCCGGAGCGGAGCGTGCGCTCTTGTTGATAAGCGTGGCGTCTGCGCAGACGAGTCCCACGGCAGCGGAAATAAAAGTGTCTGTGTACAGGATCATTCAAACAGGCCTTGCCTTTCTCACACGGTTAGTACACTCACTCACTCACACACACACACACACACTCAGAAGCGGGCCGTCTGTGGTTCCGGGTGGGTTTCTCTGGGGTCAGGGAAGAAGAAATTGTCCATTTGTCCGAGCATCACTAGCAGCCCGATGGAGGCACTGTTTGTGTAGAGACCTGAAACAACATCAATCAACCTGAAAAACCTATCAGTCAATAAAAGGACGTGTTTCTCTTTCTCTCTGTGGTTTATTAAGAGTTTAATGGAATGTTTAAGTGTCATGTACATGTTCTTTGGATTCTTTTGAGCAAATGGGAAGCAATGCAGATTCATCGTCATACAAACACAAGCTGATGTCGCTGGACGGTGACGTTACACACATTTCCACGTTTGTTTTCTCGAATGTGACGACGTCAGCCGGGAACGAACGCAAGCGATTCTGATCATTTCACGGAGTTTTCTTTATGCAAATTATTCTATATTCGATTGTGAGGCAACTTGACTGAATAGATCAGGTTTGCAGTCCTGTCCCGTGGTGTTTAACATGCTGAAATAAAGAATCTTTAACACTCTTCATGCTGTCTGCGCGTCGTCTCTGATCTGTGCATGAGATCCAGTCAGCTGTTCAACACACAGTAAATGTCTTTCTCACTATTGAATGTCTCTGCGTAAATGTGTGTCAAGCGCCAGAACTGTGTACGATAAATGTGTTTTATGATTAGACTGACAGTCAAAAATGGTCCATTAAGAAAATGGTCCATTATTCTTTCAAAATTACTTAGCATTTTTACTGAAATATTATTATAGTTTTCATTAATATAGTGAATTAGATTTTTATATATTTTCTGTTCTTATTCTAATTTTAAATAAAACATTTTAATAAATTAATTATAATTTTAATATTATTTATGTTTTTGTAATGTCTATATAGTTTTCAATTATAAAGCGTAGAGTTCCGGTGCTTGATTCTGATTGGCTGAGCCGCGTTTGAAGCTGTTGTAAATGACTCTACAAAGTAACACACACCTTTGTTTACATTTGTGTGTTGCTCGGCAACCACTTTGTAGCAACCACAACTGTTTCTGAGGAGCTACATTGTTTGGTGGAAGAATACTGTTTTTATTAATATCATTACACTTTATTTGCTCCGTTTTATTTTGTGAAGCCTTGCTACGTATATGGAATAACCGTTTTATAAAAGCAATAATCCCCGTGAAGCCATGGTTTACAGTGAATTTATAACGGCTAAGGGGTTTTCTGCTTCACGTCATACCTAACAATGCTCTTTAGCTGTTATAAATTCACTGTAAACCACGGCTTCACGGGGCTTATTGCTTTATTTTAGTACATCAAGTTAAACTGAAAATAATGACTTTTCTCACAATATTTTTCTCCAAAATGGTAAACTAGGTTTTTATATATATTTTCTGTGCGCATTTTAATTTAAAATTAAAATTTTCAATAAATTGTAATTTTAATGTTATTTATATTTTTGTAATCTCTATATAATTTTCAGATTTAGTACATCAAGTTAAACTATGAAAATGATAAAAGTTGCAAAAACGAAAAAATGTTTCTTTATTTTATTTTAGTTAACATTTGATTTAAAGTAATGAAAATGTGTTTATGAGAGTTCACGTGTTCATTCATCGGGCATCATGAGACGAGGTTTCAATCAGGTCCTCTAAAATACAAGTATTTACAGCGATTCTGCATGAAATCAGCAGCTCTGGAGCATCTGTGAAACTACAGATAGCATTATTTGAACTGTAATTGCTGTTAAATAATGAATGATGAGCTCCAGTGAATGTGACGCTGTACAGGATGAACAGGAACTACATTAGAGCGCATGCACGTGTCACGACCTTCACAAGCTTCGTTTAACAACACAACATTCGTTCCCTTTTGAGTCTGTTGGATGCTCACTTTTTGTTCCTAAATGGTACGAGCAGCTTCATGAACAGTGTTGGGGGCAACGCATTACAAGTAACGTGAGTTACATAATCAGATTACTTTTTTCAAGTAACTAGTAACACGTTACTTTGTAGTTTACAATAGCCACGTTACTTTTTCAAATAAGTAACGTCAGTTTCTTTGTTTTCCCATTGCCTGACTAACAGCTCTGTGTGTACATGATGCTACTGTACTAGAATAAATGTGAACAGAAAAAACACGTTCAGTATACCTCAAAATAAATAAAAACTGAAATGCAAACTCAGAATATGACGCAAACATGCACAAATTAAATATGTTAAATAATACAAATACACTTTAGGGATTTAATCCCATTTTATTAACCAATGTCTTTGCTGCTGATCTTCAATGATCCAATTATTAATACTAGTACCATACTAAGCAAAAATTACTTTAGATAACATTTGTGCTTTATTTATATATATTTTTTATTGCTGAAGAGTGTTGAATTTTCTTATCCTGTGTTCTACTGTACACGTGAATTTAATTTTCCTTCAGCCTGAGGCGTATTCATTTCACTTTTGGTGCAGAAGGGCTTTTACGTTTGCCAAGAATAGAACTTTTTATATTAAAAACAAAAAGCAAGCCCTGCCCGGATTTAAAAAGTAATGCAAAATAACTAAGTAATGTAATTAGTAACTTTTTTAGGGAGTAGTGCAATATTGTAATGCATTACTTTTAAAAGTAACTTTCCCCAACACTGTTCCTGAACTAGTGCAAACATTGATAAACGGGCCGATCAGAGTGTCTCTCCGTACGTTCGCCGTGATTTTGCCAAGACAGACATGTTCCTGGATCAACATTATTGTCCCAAAACATAGACCCAACCCAGTGAATGTGATTTCACCACGTGCAAAATGTTCCTGGATCAACATTCAAATCAACCAATCAGAATTGAGGGATAAGTTTACAGGAAAAGTCAATTGTAGCCTTACAACCAGAGTGAGGTGCTTCTACACCCTTGTTAGTCAACTATCATTCCCCTCTGATTTTAGGGATAAGTTATGGGTAGGGATAGGGTTAGGCCTATGTTTTTGGATAGTCTTGGTGAAGTCACGTTCTCGGTGTGACTACATGAGCGTGTGCAGCAGGACGAGCGCAGCGGCGAGTGTGTGCAGAGCGTTTGAGCCGCCGCCGGCACTCAGTCTGAAGGGCTGCTCTCGCTCTCGCCCTCCGCGGCTGCAGCGGATCAGCGGCGGCTGGAAGCTGGTGGGCCGTCGCTCGGGCCGGTCCGGACTGGAGCCGTCGCTGGGTCTCTGGCCGTTGTAGAGGAGGCTGTGTCCAGACGGGTCCTGGCCGGCGCGGAAGAGCTCGTACTCGGTGTGAGGCAGACGCACGCCCAGTGCCGCGCAGCCCGAGGTGGAGGTCACGTCCTGGGGAACACCCCGTTGCCACGAGCCCTCGGACCCACACTCGCGCCCTCGGAAGACGTTCAGCAGAGACGTGGTGGCCACATCCATGGGCGTCACCGTCATGTGCGTCACTGCAGATGCACACGATTAGAAACACTTCTTTAAAGGGTTAGTTCACCCAAAAATGTAAATTACCCCATGTTTTACTCACCCTCAAGGCATGCTAGATGTATATGACTTTCTTCTTTCAGACGAATCCAATTGGAGTTATATTAATAATTATCCTTGCTCTTCCAAGCTTTATAATGGCAGTGAATGGGTGTTTTCGTTCAACAGTCCAAAAGAAGTCAAATAAAGCGTGCATCCATAATAAAACATGCCTCACACGGCTCCGGGGGTGGATAAAAGGTGGATTCGCTACAGGAGGCTTTTCTTTTGGACTGTTGAACGAAAACACCCATTCACTGCCATTATAAAGCTTGGAAGAGCAAGGACAATTTTTAATATAACTCCGATTGGATTCGTCTGAAAGTAGACAGTCATATACATCTAGCATGCCTTGAGGGTGAGTAAAACATGGGGTAATTTACATTTTTGGGTGAACTGACTCTTTAAACGCTTCAGTTTGTTTTTATATATTACATTATTTTATAAACCTAATAAATAATTGACCTCAAAAAGGGAATTCATGAACAAGATCTGCTTCATTTTTTCATATTATATTATATTATATGATTATGTTCTGACTGATAACAAAAACATAACAATGCCTGAAATCTGCTGTGTGAAAGGTGTACAGCAAACAAGCTAAAAAAACAAAACTACATTTTTATAAGCTGTCGACCCAAAAACAAGCGTTTAAGGACACAAATAGTTGTAGATGTCGGGGTATTTCACATTGGGCCGTTCAGTTAGATCATTTCTCAAACAAAAGCAAGGCAAGGAAAAGGGGCACTGACATAGACCAATAAAGATTAGTTTCTCAGTATATCTCCTCCTCTCAGATTCACATCGAGTGGTGAAATAATTCTCTGACATGATTAAAATAATCACGTTTCCCTCCAGTGGGCGCAGTTCTCAGAGTAATATGACACGATGCACTCCACTTTTGTGTCCTTAAACTCTCTTTTTTGGGGTCGACAGCTTATAAAAACGTAGTTCTGGGTTTTGTAGCTTGTTTGCTGTACACCTTTCACACAGCAGCTTTTAGACATCGTTCTGTTTTTGTTATCAGTCAGAAATGACAAGTAGGCAGCTTCCTGCAATACAGAGTCAATGGAGAGCGTTGGTAATTATGACTTTTTATCTCACAATTCAGACTTTTTCCCTCATTATTCTGACTTTTTTCTTGTAATTCTGAGAAGAAAAAAAAATAGTGAGAAAAAAGTCAGGATTGCAAGATACGAAGTGAAACTTTCCAGAAAAAAAGTCAGAATTGTGATATAAAACATTGCAATTACCTTTTTTTATTCCATGTTGGTAAAAAAAAAAAAAACAGAATTGTGAGTATTTAACTTACATCTTAGAACTGGAAGAAAAAAGTCAATTGTGAGATGAAATTGTGAGTCAATTGTGAGATTTTATCTTTTTGTTTCTGTAGATTTCAATCCCAGTCCATAACTTTAAAGAGTTTTTCTCTTACATTCACCAAACTTTACAGTTTTATTCCTCTCTATATTCTGAAGGTTTGTACATATTTCATTCACACTGATTTATAAACATTTCACTCCTGAAAACATGGTGAAAATGTGTTTGTTCATTTCAATTCATGAACACTTTGGAATACAGGGGAAAGGTTGGTCTCTTTTTAAAGGGGTCATATGATGCGATTTCAATTGTTCCTTTCTCTTTGGAGTGTTACAAGCTCTTGGTGCATAAAGAAGATCTGTAACGTTGCAAAGACTAAAGTCTCAAATCCAAAGAGATATTCTTTATAAAAGTTAAGAGTCAGCCACGCCTACCTAAAACGGCTCGTTCTAACACGCCCCCACATGTCTACATCACTATGTGGTTAGATTTGCATAACGCCGCCCAAATGTTCACGCAAAGAAAGAAGGCGTAACTTTTATTCTCGCTGTAGTATTGTTGTTGTCGCCGCCGCCATGTCGTGAAGACGCTGTGTGTTTCGTTGTGAAAGCGAAACTACTTTGTTTGGTCTTCCAAGCGCTTGTTGTTTGTCATTTCTCTGATCACAAATGCAGACATGGTTTTATGTTTACGCGGCGCGATGCAACGCAAGCATAAAAAGACAGTATAAGTCATAGGGCTGCACGATTAATCGAATGTGATTGTTATGCGCATTTTGATAGTAAAGCCGGTTCTGTAATC